ACTTGTAACACCGATATTAAATTTTGAACAACTATCTCCCAAAATCTATTTTTATAGATTCCCAAATGCTCCCAAATCTATTTTTATACAATTTTCCTATAGAATATAAAAAAGAAATAAAATTCCTAGGGATGCAACTGGACTCAAAATTAAGTTAGAAAAGTCATATACACTCGCTAAGCCTATCGTGCCAAGCTGGACTAAACATTTATGAAATCTGTATCACATAAAAATTGGGGAGCAGATTTTCCAACTCTAATAAATATATTTAGAGCTTTAATTAGATCAAAACTGGACTACGGATGTGTTGTGTATAACACAGCAAATCAAACATTGCTTAAAACTTTGGATACTCTTCCGAGTTCAGCCGTTAGACTTGCTCTAGGAGCATATTGCACCAGTCCTGTGGACAGTCTACTCTGTGAAGCTGGAGAACCACTCTTAATCCTAGGAAGTAAATATTTAAGTCTATCGTATGTCTCGAATATAAAATCTAACCCAAAAAAATCCAGCTCTTTATCATGCTGTTGCTAACAGGTTCTAGGAGGTCTATCAAAAAAGAAATAGGTGTCCTGTACCTTTCTATGAACGAGCCAATAGATACTTATTCGATTTTAATATTGAACTACCTCCCATTTATCCTACCTGTGTAATAAATTTATGTTTTCCTTGGGTTGTTCCCTCTCCGCTTTGTAACCTTTAAACTTACAGCATATACCATATATATATATATATATATATAAATATATATATATATATATAAAATTCGTGTAAAGTTAGTGTATATAAAATTACCATTTTATATACACGAACGCATCAAGGCCATAAATCGAGTAGGAGCATGCTTTGTAATATCACATGAACATTCCATCTATAAATTATCAAATTGTCTCCTAACACAAGTATTTTTACAGCAGAACTATTTGCCATCAATAAGGCTCTAACCTTTATTCTAGAAAAAAAAACTTCCCAAATCTCTTATAATATCTGATTCACTTAGTTATCTGACATCCATTTCTAAGATTTATCCCTCTCATCCAACATTATGTACAGCAGATTAAGTTAATGTTGTACCATATATACCAAAACAATTTGACAGTAGTTCCTCTGGGTACCGTCACACGCTGGAATAGATAGTAACATAAAGGCAGATAGTCCAGCTAGTTCCGCACTAACCAATTCAGTCGCATCAGTCGAAAATCTAACGGTGCATTTAGATTTAAAACCTTACTTAAAATTAAAATTGCACAATGTTTGGCAAAACCAATGGAATAGAAGCACAACTAAATTGACAGAAACAAAATCTTCCTTTCTTCCATGGAACTTCTAGCTTTGAAAGCAACAACATTAAGTCCTTATAACACGTCTCAGATTATGACACACTTCTACAAGACATAAATACTTGTTGAAGAGAAAAGAGGAACCAGTGTGTTTTGTCTGTGAATGTAAAGTGACAGTGAAGAACATTTTGGTTGACTGTCCAATCTACTTAGTTGAAAGACTATATTACCACATTCCAAAACATTAAAAGAACATCTAGGAGAATCTAAATATGTAGCTGACTTGATAGAATTCTTGAAATCAATAACTTTTTTAATAAAATTTTAATACAATACATCAATAATTTAAATACATATTGTATACATTATTATGTAATTGATATTTGGTATATGCCTTAAGTCTTTATCACTTTTTGTATTTTTTCTTATGCTAATAACCCTAAGTGGTTGAAGCAAAATAAATAAAAAATAATACGACAATTTTTAACCTCATTATCATATCACTACAAATCCGTATCGATAAGAACACATACTAAATTAAGAAAGCTCTTATAACGATATTGTCCAGGAAAAAAATCGCTTAAGGTAGATCGGACACATGCATAGACGCCAAGATGTCAAACTTGTAAAACTATATGGAAGGAAGTTAGCACAGAAGAATGCCACTTAAACATCTCAATATACAATGGAAAGACAACATACAATCAAATGTTAAAAAATAAACATTTCATTTGATTGCAGATTCGTGGGAAGATCGGTCAACTTGGAGAAAAATAGTAGTTAGCGAAGACCCACCCAGTGTTGTAGCGCTACGTAATGATGATGATAAAGAGAAAGGAGAAACAGTGACAAAAATCAACAAAAATGGACTAATGGAGCAAAGCTGCTTCAAAATCTTTGACTGGAGAGGATTAAAATAAAAGTATAAGAAATGCAATGGCTGATTGATGGATTCGAAATACTTGAGGCTTGAGAAGAGCACTCTGCCGAAACAGCTGTAGTGATAAGATATAATTAATTTTGTCGAAGTTTTAAAAATAAAGTTTTCAGTGTTTTATTGTTAAATAATATGGAGTTTACATACGACATTATATACGCTATAATAACTAGACAACTTATATAACACCGACATATAAGGAGAAAGTTTACTGAAACAATAAACTACTCAATATTTGTTATGAGTGGAAACGATATAAATAAACAAAATGGAGATAAAGAAACAGAAGACGTCAAAGAACGTTTTAAATTGATAAATGTATTCAATTTTTAATAATGTATATTTAAAGGTCATTGTCGGAGCCAATGTGCTAAATGTATGTAAAATAAAACTGTTTAAGGTAGATATGTTACAAATACATCTAACTAAAAATAATCGATGTTTATATGAAAGATGAAACCGTATGACACACTACCGTGCAATGTCCAGGATCCGGTATCGTAATAAGAAGTAATATTTCACTTCCAGGCCATTTTACTTTAGATATTCTTTTTATGAATATAATAAGTAAACATATAGTAAGCTTCATCTTCTTATTGTACCGTATTCTAATAAAGGTTGGTGATTACTTCTTAAACACTTCACATAAATTATTATTGTTTAAATTTAACTACTTTATGAAACAAATATTGCACGTCATAAACTACAGTAATTGAAAAACTATAAAGATCTGTTTTCAGAGTTCTCTTTAATCTTATGTAGTTTATTGTAATCCTACCGAAAGGCTTCTACTTTCTTTAACTATTACAAGATAACTCTACTCGATATTCGTACATTTAGAGACTAAATGTTTAAGTGCCCATGCATTTAAAAAAAAATAATATATTAAATGGAAACTAACCTTTTTCAAGTTTATAATAGATACTTTTTTAAGTTTGAAAATAATTGTAATTAATAAAGTAATTAAAAATAATAAGTTCCAAAATGTACCGGCTATAAAATTTTAAAATCTACTACTAATACTAATATTGGCAACATCGCAGGAGTTTAGAAGTGTACGCGAAAAGTTATATACGGGCCCCAAAAATGTTTTATCCTATTACAGAGTCCACTTGATCCGACGTGTTGGTCGGAGTCTACATAAAGCGCTACTTAGATAATAATATACACGGCGTATATTCTCCTGAGTTCGTATAATACCCTTTTATTACGGAGCCTACATTAACCGCTAGAAGTATATATATATATATATATATATGGATATCAAATACAGCAACCTCAACTTATTATAGTTCATAAATTTTTATTATGCAATTAGCAATTTATTTAAATTTTGCAATGGATTGTTTATTTAATTATCTTTTATTTTGTGATACATTTATGATTTTTGTAATTTCAATAAATTTTAATTGTTAATAATATTTTCTGACTTATTGTAAGTTTTGTCCATAAAATTGTACTTTTATTGACAATAAAGCATATTTCCATTCTATTCTATATCCATACGATATAAATAAATTTCTAAATATACATAAATCTTTAAAGTTTTTTAAACGTAATGTTAAATATTTCTTGATTTATCACAGTTTCTATTTTATTATCTCTCTTATGTAACCATCTGTACAATGCAAAGAAATATAATTACTATAATTCAATTAGCCAAATTATATTAAAAACTTAAAACAAAAGTCTTTCGCATACAGCTACATTCAAATGTTGCATGAAGAAGGGATCTTTATTATTATATTATTATTTATTATTATTATTTATTATATTACGTGTTTTCTATCTCTTCGCCAATGAGGAATGCCACTTCACGTTCTGTCAGAACTCTCCTTATCATATCTAAAGTTCTTAATGTTTTCCTATACTGTTTTTATAGGTTTTTAAGTAGAAAAGTTAAATGTTATAGAACCAATATATTTTTCAATATCAACCATTGCCTTCTCCAGTTTACGCAACTCCTTAGTATAATTGACGAAGTATAAGTAAGTTTTTAAGATTTTTGTATGGTTTTTTATTATTTGTTGGACCATCTCATAAAGAATAATAAATTTTATTTAAAGAACTGTAATTTTGATACTATTTTATCACAATTCTGTCGACAAAAATAAACCCAATACGTTTATAAATAACTAGATAATTGTTTTAAATACGTCATTTAACATAAGTAATTTTCAAATTTGCATTTTTTACTCACTACAAAAGTATTACGGAAATACATCGAATAATTTACTTAAGAATAAATAAATAGTTCCAAGTAAACTAATAAAACAATAAATTAAATAATAAGATAAATTCTAAATAAAATATAAAAATTCGAACTATTTTATCAAATTATATACGTTCAAATAAAGAATTTAAAAAACTCCATTTAACTTTTTGGCCTCAGGATGGAAATTTTTAATAAGCCAACAAGCATTTGTCGTAAAATGAAACAAATTCAGAACAAAAACATTTTATTCCGATTAAAGGTATTGCTGATATTGGTCTGTATTGATATGTGCTTTGTACGCTTTTGCTTATGATTTCAAATAGACAATTATTTGACTCATTTATTTTCAAAACAAATTTTTTAATTCATTTATTTTTTCTTGTCTTATGCCGTATTTATATGTATATTTTGTTTTTCTTTTAACGTTTAGATTTGTTTCGCTTTATACAGCGATTTATTAAGATTTGAAACCATGATCGTTTTTTTAAGAATATGAAGTTTGTACTGGTTTAAATTTTATTCATTAATAAATGTTTCCTATCTTTTGTTAAAAAAATTAATTTTACAGATAAACCGTACACAGCTGAACCACTACAAGGAAAAATAGTCACAATTACATCCCAAGATCACGAAGATGAAAAAGTATGTTTAAGTCCAGGGTGCATTCATACTGCATCACGTGTATTGGAATATATGGATGAATCAGTAGACCCTTGTGATGATTTTTATCAATTTACTTGTGGTAATTTTATCAAGAAGACAAATATTCCTGATGACAAATCCTCAGTAACTTCATTTACTCTTATTGGTGATGAACTTCAGGAGCAATTGAGAACTATGATCGAGGAGCCAATTCAAGAAGATGAACCAAAACCGTTCAAGGTAAGCATCACTCGAAAATATTAGTTGATAAATTTGTAGTCTTTTTAAGAGTGAGGATGAAATTATTAACATTGCCTGAAATATTTTTTTTATTAGATATGTAGATAACACGGTAAATCAATGCTGTAGTATTGAAGACCACTGACTATTTTTATTGCTATATACCAAAAATAAAGGTCCAGTTTCAGGTTACGTCACTTAACATTAAATATTTTTACTAGCTGGTGTAACAGGGAAAAACTATCTGACAATCATAGCAAAATAGTAGTAGTCAGTTTCACAAGAAGACGGAACCTATATAATATCTGGATGCTCTCTCTGTATGGAGAAACCGTCGAAGAGGCCGTTGAGGTTTAATATCTAAGAGTAAACTAGATAAGCGGTTAATATGGAATGCACATCTGGAAAGAATAACCAACAAAGCAAAGCTTTTGATGATATGTGAGAAATCACGGGGTATAAAATTTAAACAAAACAATGAAATCCTAACCGCCTTCATTGATCTCTCACTATATATATATATATATTATTATATATATATATATATTAATATATATATATATATATAAGTTGTGATTTTTGAGGATGCAGTAAGTTTATTTGGCCCACAAGATAAATAAATAATAATAAATAATAAACTGACTGCATCCTCAAAAATCACAACTTATATTTAAATCAACAGTCAAAAATACCACCATCTTATATATATATATATATATATTATATATATATATATATATATATATATATATATATATGGATGCAAAAGGGTATAGTTAAATATAGTATAGTACAATTAGCGTACAGAAGGTGGATAAGACGCCAGGAAGCAATAACGTGACCACATAACTATAACGGGATCAAAGGTAGAGGTATAATAAAAAATCATCAATAGTTGGAAATGGTAATAAATGCAATGCTCTTGATTTCATTTCTAAAACCCGTCGTCGTCATTTCAAGGAGAGGATAATAAAGTAGAATAGAACTCAAATAAAACGAAATATATAATATCAGATCAATGCTGGTATTTAAATGGCTCTTAAACCGATTAAGTTGCAGCTCGGAGGACAATCAAGATGGTCAGAAGTTACTAAATAGCATTTATTTAACATAGATATTAAAATATAGTAAGATAGAGTGAAACATAAGATCGATACGCATTTAAAATTTGAGAGAAGATCCACTTTAAAAAACAATAATGTATTATCATAAAACATATAACTAGGTGTTCACTCTTAAAAAAGAGAAAAATCCTCTTTTCTTTAACTATATGAAATAAAATGCACCGGGAAGACTAATTATTAAAGTGTATGCCTTGATTAAGTACCTATATATGTACTGTTGAATTGACACAATTCTCAATTTACGTATTTCTTTTTTATTTTTTTAGTATTAGGATTGAATCCATACAGACAATTTACGTAATATTTAACTTAAAACTATATTTCGAATCTGGGAGGACAAGCTAGGATTACTCGGGCTTTATCAGTAAACTACTAAAATTGTTATTTAGTTTTACTGTATCATAGTAAAAAGACATCATATTCTACCAACGCAATAAAATAAAAGAATAACATCGTCATTATCATCATCATCATTCAGCCAATTGTGTCCACTGAACATATACCTCCCTCAGTTCTTTCCAGTGTTCTCTACACTGGAAAGTCAGTTTTCTGCTACACGTTTGATATCATCGGTCCATCTAGTCGGTGGTCGTCCTCGGCTTCTTTTATAGTTTCTGGGCCTCCATTAAATAATACGTTTTGTCCACCGTCCATCTTGTGTTCTGGCTAAGTGCCCTGCCCAGTTCCACTAAAGCGTCGTGGTTCTTTCGATGATGTCTTGAACTTCTTATCTTTGCCAGATTTGTTGGTTGTTTGTTATGTGGTCTCGAAGGCTCACGTTCAGCATTGCCCGTTCCATGGCTCGTTGTGTAACTCTGAGTTTATTCGCAGATTTTTGCGAGACTGTTATAGTCTCTGCTCCATAAGTTTGTACAGGCAAAACACAATGGTTATAAACCTTTCGTTTGAGACACATCGGAATTGAACTTTTTAGAATATGGCTGTATTTTATGTGTTTGATTGTCTCTGCTTACTTTGATCTCGTGTACCAGATTTGTAAGTTTATCTTTAATCCTGCTCTTTCAGGCAGACTTTTAAGCGAATGTCTCATAGAAACTGTATCCTGTAAGTTTTCTCCGATTAATACATCATCTGCAAACCTTAGATGATTTAATATTTCTCCATCTATATTGATGCCCATATCTTGCCATTAAGTGTTCTTAAATATTGACTCTAGAGCTGCCGTGAACAATTTTGGTGAAATATTGTCTCCTTGTCTAACTCGATCTAAGCTGAATTTTTCTGTGTCTTCATGTAGTAGTATACTTGATGTAGCGTTCTTGTAGATGGTTTTGATTAGTGTTGTGTACTTGTAATCTATTCAACTTTGATTTAGGGCTTCCAGTACGGTTTCAAACTCTACAGAATCAAAAGCCTTCTCATGGTCATTTGTGCCATATCCTGCCCTGAAGCCTGCCTGTTCTTTGGGCTGATAGAAATCAAGTTTAGGTGCTAGTCTCTTTGTTAAGATTTTCATAAAGAGTTTGTACATACGTGTCAAGAGACTGATGACTCGATAATTTTCTAATTTAGTAATATCGTCTTTTTTGTGTAACAAGACTATCACTACATTGTTTTAGTCATTTGGAATCGTACCCGCATATAAGCCTTTTTTATTAAACAGTTCGCTCAATAATTTTAATAGAATTTCTCTTCCTGCTTTTATTGCCTTAATAACGAGTCCATCATCACTAGGCGATCGATGGTTTAAATATGTTCTTACTTCTGATACAGTAATGGGTAAAAGTGTTTCCGATCCCTGATTTATGAGAGTCTTTACTCGTGTCGGGAAATTATCTTGTGGTCTTTGGCTGGTATAGAGGTCTTCTTAAAACTCTCTCGTTATTTTTAGAATATTTTGTTTATCTGTTGTTGACTTTCCGTCTTTATCTCTCAGCTTGTATATTTCTTTTTTACTTTGTGTGAGTTTTTTTCATTATCTTTAAATCTTTGTTCTCTTCTGTTTGAGTAAGTAATTACATTAGCAGTCTATCTTCTTACATATTTTCTAATTTTCGTTGAAATTCTTTTATTTAGTTTTCTATATTATTCTTTGTTTCTCTTTTCGTTCTCGCTTACGTTTCGTCGTATTTCCATAAAAGCTTTTGTATTTTTGCTAATCTTTTCACTTTTGGTGTCATTTTTCTTGCAAAATTTAAAAATAGAAAACAGTTTTGGAAAAATCATAGCCTTTCAGAGGATTACATATATTTTAATCACATTTTTGAATAATTATTCTTTTAATAGAATGTTTTAAAGAGTAGAAGCTTCTAACATTTAAATTTGCAGTATGAATATACGTTTTAAATTGACAATGCAAATCTTATCTGAACATAAAAGCAAATATAATGTTGAAAGTCATGGGGAATGAACGAAATAATCATAGATCAGTATTTTTTTTTTTAAGAAAAATACATCACAAACTTTTTGAGACTATATTTTATTTCTTTAAATATGCGTTAAAAATTGGTCCTTTCAATTCCTACACGAATATTTTCAAGAGATCCCATTACTTCATCATGTCTGTTAGCTAATGGACTTCTTGTTACTTCAGTTTATTTAACCATTTTTTTGTCTCTTTAATTTCTCTTTCGAAATCTTCTTTTTCTTTTGATTTCTTTTTTTTATCTTCTATTGTCTATTTCTCTTTTCATATCTGCTTTACACATTTTTGAGGGTTTCTTTACCTCTTTCTGCTATCCTACTGAAGCTCCCAATATGAAGAATCTGGTTACACTCCCGCAATGCTATTAACTGGTAGAGAGATAAAGCTTTCTATTGATCTTATACTTTAAAATGTACCCAACGAAGAGGCAGACCAAGAGACAGTCGCCGAGTATATCAGCAGTCTAAAGGATCAACTGGTTAATGTCCACGATTTCACCAGGTATAAGCTCTACCTCACCAGTGACCGAATAAAAATTAGGATCGATCAGAAATCAATTTCCATTAGCTTTAACTAAGGTGATGCAGTCTGGGTCTGCCAACCAAGAAGAAGGAAAGGTCGAGTCCTAAGTTGCAGCGGCCCTGGAGGGACCGTACCTAGTTACTAAAAAGATAAATGACCTTGCATATAGACTTTAACTGACACCACGGATTAAGCTGAAGGTCTTCCACTTGGAGAGACTTTGTCCTTATCAAGGGTAGAATTCACCAACAGGGTCTATTTGGGTGCTGTTCTGGGTGAACAGCCTAAAAGAAAGGGGACGATGTGTTACATACACTCGATTGTCGACCTGTTCTTTAGTGAAGTTGATAACTCTCCTTTCACTGCTGGATATATTCCATGCACCGTCTTTATCGATGCGGGAATGTTCTCATCGCCTGATAAGATTCCAGAACATAATTTAATTTATATAAATCCTATGAGTCAGTCTTTGAATATTAGTATCGCGAATTGTTTTGTAAGTGATAGTGCGAATTGTAAGCTATAATTATTCCTGTAATTAGGAAGTGGCCTTCTTTTGTTGATTGGTTGACAATATATCAAAATTATTTGGAAGATAAACTTTACCATTATAGTTTGTGAAAAACAGTCACATTTTGTTTACGTTTAAGCGAATAATTGTGGCTACAAACCCAAAATTTTTAAGGACAGTGGCAGTAGATTTTTGTTTGATCTTGTAATACTTACATGCTTATCATATAATCATTGATTCAAACTATTGTTACTTGATATTTAGATTATAATTGTTATCTCCCGCAATTCATAGTATTGTTACAACGTGTTTATTAAAAGAGTCATTGAGAAAATACAAATATTATTTGTAGTAGATTAAAAATTTAAATAATTTGGATCGATACTTTAGTCACTCCTACAAAATGATAATTTGATTATTTTATATTTTCATTATATACAAAGTTTATAACCTTGCATCAGTACTGTAACAAAAACAGAAAAAAACATTCCATTTCATATCATATATAAATGTATAATAGAAATAAATGAATAATTTATTACGATTATGATTAAGCAACAATTGATTGTAATGAAAATTAAATTTTGAACTAATGTCCAGGTTTTCGATTTCCATTCTGGAAATCGTTTGTTTAAAAAAAGATTATTTAAACAAGAATCTGCGAAAATGTATAAACAACAAAGTTGTTAGCGAATTATGTTATTTTGAAATTGATGTTGACTTACTTAGTCTCGATCTTACATCCCATATAAACATAGTATTCAACTTAGACATTTTACAAGAAAATAGTTTCGGAAGCTTTTTGACCGAATATTGTTTATTATAATTTTAATATTGTAATACATTTAATTCGATCAAAAATGTCTACTTTGATATTGACCCATTCTCGTTTCATTTTTTAAATCATATAATAATGTAAAGAACACTTATACCAAGTTTTAAGGTAGTTGCACTTTAATATGCAATCTATTAAATATATCGATGAACTGGTAACACTGGATAGCTGCAAAATTTCTGAATAACCAATTTTTTAAGAGAACCTAATTTTGTTCATCTGAATCACCCCATTCAAACTCCAAATTACCTTCTAACTTCCAGTCACTTCCACTTTTTTAAAAGGCTCTTGCTTACTATCTTTACTATTCATCATACGCTGTATTTCATTGTATATTTCCTTTGCTGTTTTTGCTGATTTTTTTTAATGACATAGTGCTGCAATTAATTAAAATAATATTTATTACAAATAATATAAAAAATAATTAGATAATGACTTACCAAAAACATCACCGGTGACCAAATAAATTTAACAGAAAAAAATTAACATAGAAACTGGAGTGCCATACAGTTTACGACGTGCCTCAAAAAATAAAAAAATAAATGAGACACATTGTGGCATCGTGGACATCGTATAGTCAAAATATTGAAATTTTCTGAAACTGTTTTGTAGACTGAAATACACTGCCGAGCATACAATGAGGATCACCGGCCCCCATAAATTCAAGACAGCTTCGCGACACATTGGTAGAGGAATGGAACAATCTTTTGCAGAATGAGTCCAAAATCTGATCCAAAGCATACCTCAACGATAATTATTATCGCTACCAAAGGAGGGAATACTTACTACTGAAGTTCTTAAAATTTTTTTTACGTTTTTTTGTTTTAACAAAAAGCATATTAAATTAAAATTGTCCCTTTTCAAAATCAAATATGTTAAAGAAAATTGTTCATTTTCATTATTTTTCATAAACTTGAAGGGACAAAATCGTTGATTGGTTTAATCAATCCAATAGTGAACTATGTTACAATCAAAAATAGTTCAAAAAGAATAATAATGTCTGAAATAAATTCAAATGACGGAGTGAACCTAATTTTATGCTCGTCAGTGCATTATGTTTATATGGGAATATGCCACAATTTATTGTATTGAAAGTTAGACTGAAATTACAATTTTCTGAAATTATCTTATTTTGAAAACGATTTCCGTAGTTGAAATAGAAACGTCAAACAGCATTTAAAAATGTAATTTCTACTGCAATCAATTTTGGTCTAAACCCATATAAACATAATATTTAACTTTGTCAATTTTTTTTTTAAATAACCTAAATATTTTACGAGTATATGTATAATAATGGATTTTCATCAAGTAAATATCTCCTCAGTTAAGTAGTATATGTATTACGGCTTAGAGTTGAAATACCGAATTCGTGACATGAAATTTTTTAACGTCAGAAAAGGACAACGAATTGTAAAAGGAAAACACAGAAGTAACAGACTTAAAAAACGTTTCTCAGTAATATGCAAAACTAATTTTTTAACCGTCCATCTTTTTAATTATTAATTAGTGAAGGTGGTTTGCAATGATTCAATTTAATTGAATTTTTCAGATATCATTATTGAATTTGTTAAAATTAATATAATATTATTGTTTGTTTCTGTCAATGTCGTCAAAAAGTAAATATTTTGATTCCTCTTTTGGGAGAAAGTTCTTTTACGAAGGTATCATTCATCATAATACATATTTTATATAATACATTATTATTGAATGTATTCATAGTTCAATTTTGAAGTTTTATTATTTTGTTTTAATATCTACATTATTGTACTATTAGGTTTTCTGTTTGTTTCACACCAATAATTTTGTTTGATATTATTTTAAAAATTATTTGAAACTGTTTTAGCTTACCAAGAAGTTATACAAGGCATGTATGAATAAAACTTTGATTGAAGAGGATGGAATGACCACCATTAGCGAAGTTCTGAAACAGTTGGGTGGTTGGCCTGTTTTAGAAGGAGATTCTTGGAATGAAAATGATTTTGATTGGAAGAACTCTGTATATAAATTCCGAAAAGTAGGTTATGGTGTAGATTATTTTATCGATTTTTCTGTTGTTGGAGATGTCAAGAATTCTACCAAGAGAGTAATTGATGTAAGTATTTGAATAACAAATATAATAAATGAAATCAGATTATATTGGAAAGAGTTTAGAAACCTTCTTGAAACTGATATTATCTTGAAAATTACTTCAACTTATAGACGTTTATTAATACAAACAGTAGCACTACAATATTCGCCTCTATCCTGTGATTTTTTTATAAATAATCTTGTGAAGATTGGAATACTCTTTCTGACGATGTTTTGACAAATCGGTGGTAGATTGTTCAGTGTTTATGCCAATAGTATCTGATAAAAAAATAACAGTTGTTTGGATCTATATTAGATTTTTATAAACTTGTTTATTAGACTGGTCTATCACGATGGATTTTTCATTTATTTTTGTGTAATTTTTAAATTTAATCCCTCTCTTTTCAAATCAAATATATCTATATATTTTTATTTCAAATTAATGTTATCTTGATTGTTAAGTGACTTATATGCAGGTTTTAAGCTAAACTAAATAGCTTAAACAATAGTGTTTAAGATCGAGACTTTCGAACTGATTCGAGGTTATACCACAAAGTATGAAAAATATCTTGAAATACTAAAATTATAAATAAAGACGTACTGAAGAAGATTGCTTAAGAAACAAAGCTAATCACCACTGTACAAACAAGAAAACTGGAATAATTAGGCCATGTGATGAAAGTAACAAAATATGCAATTTTGAGTCTCATAATACCTACAACAAAAGATTAAAGGAAACAGATTTGTTGGCCAAAAGCAGAGTTTTTGGTTGAAGAATCTACGTAATTGGTATCAATGCAGATCGATTGAATCGTTGAGTAGCAAGTTTGAAGGTAAACATTGCCAACCTAGATAGCCATATATTTTGCTATGTATTAAAAAATGAACTATTTTTTATTTTGTTTTCAGTAATTTATGTTTTTAAAACTATCTGTTAAAAGCCGATAGGATTCAACTAGTTAGCTTATTGTTCATCTCTCGTTTATTCATAATACCCATTTCAGAATTCTGAAACCAGCTTCTATACAAACTTGAACAGCTCTAAACGATGGCTATCATATAGTTTTGATTAACTGTTTCAAGTCGTTAGCTATAGAAACTGCATCTTATGTCTCCAGGAAATAGTCCTACTGCATGCAGGTGTTCATTGACTGACGCTTGTCCCATAAGAAAACCTGCTATGACTCTTATTGATTCCTGCTGTTTTTTCGTAGTACTTCAGATATATTTTTACAGTGAAAGTTAGATTGTGTTAGAATCCAGGCATTTTTTGGTTGCAGTGGGTGATTGTGGCACTGTACTGTACAAGTATTTTGTAGCTGATAATCTTTTGACAGGTTGATTAGCTATATAATTGCCGTATATTTCACTGTAACCAGTAACTCATACCAGTCTGTCACTGTTATATTTTGCTAAGCTATTGAGTTTTTTGAGCGTTTTCTTCTAAGAGCCTTCATGGCCACTTAGCTATCTATGCAAATATTAATCTTCCCTTTCCATTTTCTTTTTATAGAAGTATTGGATAAATCCCATCCTTACCCCATGATTTGCATCGATTAAATAAGTTTATTACTACACACCAGTGTTATCCAGAATTATGGGGTATATTTTTTTATTTTTCAGACTGCTACATTGTGTCTAGTGGTATCTATTTAATTTCAGACTAAGAAAAGTGCAGCATAAGAAGTTATTTCAGGATCTCTTCATTATTCTAAGTGTGTTTATCGGACTCCTTTCGGAGAAGGAATAGGTATCTGTTATGAGATAACGTTATGGAACCTTGAAGTTTATGCAGTCTGTACTATCGGCTCACATTGCCTTCTCTGCTATTTTCTTTTCACCCTTCTCAGTTTCTTATTATATTCAGTCAGACTTTGCGATGATTCCTCAGTAGCCTGAGTTTTTGCTGCTATTAAATTATCTTATGACGTGAAGGCGAATATAAAGATCTCTTAAAATTATTCGGTAGCCATATCTAGGTTCAGTATTTTCAGTCCAGTATATTTTCAGAAAGTATCAATCCTTTCGTCCCTTTAATCGTACCGCAACAATATTGCTATGATATAATTCTGTCTATTTTACTTTGGTTACGATGTTTTCTTGATAGGGTTATTACTGTTACTCTAAAACAAATGTTTTGATGGTCCAAACAAAAAACCTCATGTGACCATATCATTTTTTGACAGTTCTAGATATGTGAGTCTTGGCCACTGTTATATCAATTACGCCCTTTGGTTGTAAAGTTGCGAAAGTTGGTGCGTTTCCTACGTTTATTATGCCTTACTTATATTTCATAACAAGTGTACCAATGACTCACCTCTTTTGTTTGTTTTTTTTTACTGCCCGAAGTCAGTTGGTCAATTGTAGTACATTTATCCTGATATCCAATCTCTCACTACCTGTTCCATCTCCCTTAGTATCAGTTTTCTTTGGCTTGCCTACTAATTATGGTGTATATAAGTGTTTATGTGCGTATTTATGTGTTTGCCTGTGCTTATGGGTCGTGGTCAATCGACAAATCTACAGCAACGATATAGCTGTAGTCCATGTTTTCGGTCGACCCACGGGAATGTATTTGGTTATATCTAATTCACACCTGTCATATTTATCTATAGGACGTGCCCTGTCAGTTATTGGAAAACAACATATTGGGATTAAGAACATCCCCATATATATACTCATATATACATATTTTATGGCACGAAATTCATATTTTGTACCTACATAATATGTAAAACATCCTATAATAGTCAGTTCACTTTTATTGTCAAATTTTTGGATGTTGTTAATTAAAGATATTATATCCTTCCCTTCATATTAGACCCACATTCTTTTGTTACTTATATATCCGTATTACGTATAATTACGCTCTCATGTATATATTGTGCAAGTCATAATGTCACTTAGTTTAACTTTGCACTTATATATTATATATCTACTTCAAACTATCTACCAAATGCGAGAATTCAATTATTAGATTTTTTTTAGAAGTTTTTTGATTAATCGAAATTATCAAAATTTACATCTTAGTGTTTTATCCTACGATTTTATTATCTAATGAGATCAAATTATCTTGCATTTAGGTTTCGTTTCATAGTTCAGTAGTCTACTACGACTATTTTGATACAAAAAAAAATAACCTATGACCGTCTTTTCTGAGATCTGAATAGAACTAAGCTTCTTGTCAGGAAAAATGTTTTAAAAAAACATAAAATTTATGTTGTGTTAAATACCCCAATTATGTTACTAAATACTTTAAATCGTTAAGTGTATACACAACTATATTTCATTTTCTTATCTATTTTTAGTTGGATCAAGCATCTTTGGGTCTAAGGCGGGAATTCTTAATCAAGGGACTCGATGAAAAGATAGTCAAGGCCTATTACGATTATATGGTTGATTTAGCAGTGCTGTTTGGTGCTGAGCGCGAGAGAGCAGCTAAAGAATTAAGAGCTTCTCTCGAGTTTGAAATACAGTTAGCTAAGGTAAGTTTAAAAGAAATAATAATTGTAAAAATATTGTTTAAAAGCTCCTTATCTGTGACATCGGTTTCATAATCATTTTAATTAATAATATACCATATTTAATCAAAATGTATTTTATATTTTTTCTCACAAATCAATAGCTGTAGGTAAAATACATTTGTCCAAATAAACGAACATTTATATAAATAACTAATCCTTTTCTTTCATGGTTTAAATTTACTTGTTCTGTTTTAAAAACTTTTATTTATGAATTTTTAAATATAAGACTTTAACATGCGTGTGAACATTTGTGAAATGCCAATGCATTTGAACATTAAATATTTTTAAGAGAGTGTAGTATATTGTATTGAATTGTATTGCATTGTATTGTATTGTATTGTATTGTATTGTATTGATTGTATTGGTATTGCATTATATTAATGATCATCAAATAGTAGTTGTGTGTTCCAAAATAGTTTCAAAAGTCTTCTTTTAGCAACTCTATTATCAATCAGATAAAGAAATCCATAGTTCTTAAATTCTCGGATACTCAGAAAAAGAAAAGTAAAACACAATTTTTTTAAGAGAAAATTGTTGACGTATCACATTCAAGTATATCAAAATGGAATATAAAGAAAAAATCCAGATCTTTGTGTCCACTGCTCTACATAGATCTTCGCTAATCTTTCTTATCCATTTTTATCCTGTGCCATTCTTAACAAGTAGTAGTTTTTATAAGTACTTTTTTCGGCAAATAATACACTTTAAGTTCCTGTGAAATCAACAATAACGTATATCTTTTCAAGAATTCGAAAAGGTTTTTCTTTTCCTGACGAACATACTACCATACATTATCCATTATATGAATTAATATGTGTCACGCCTTTTTGTCTTGGTCCAATTTTAAAAGTGACGTTGAAAAATATCCAATATATAAAACTGGCCCCCTCTTCCTTACAAATCTTGGCTTTTTATTGTTCCTAATCAAACTTGCTAGTCTTTGACTCCATATATTTACGTGCGTGTTATGTTACTGTAAAATTTGGTTACGTTTTCTATAAACATTGCATTTGGTGAAATATTAATGCCTTTTTGTGAATAAAAAAACACTGCCATATAAGGTTCGGTATGAAAAAAATATTCGAAATATAATACACGATTGACTTGTTTTAAATTTCAAATTCAATTCAATTTGGAGATTCAATTCATTTTAATTCAATTTTCAGAGATTAAGCGCCGTGAATGTCGCTTCTGTTGGCTTCATTTAACTATTAAGTTGTATTTATTATATTCAAATACCGAATAATGAACGTTACCATTAGATCAATATGGTGATATATAATAGACTTTTTTTATTTTATGTAGACAGTCATGTTTTATCAAAATAAACTATTTTTGAATATAAAACAGTCTTTACTCACTAATTGTACAATAACTACGATATTGAAATACGATTTTATAAAGCATGAATATGTTGAAAAAATGGAAAGTCAACTCAACATTTTTAACCCTGCAATTTTAGAGAATACGTCTGCTATTATTATATTATATTAACTTTAAACTAAATTTATCCACTCGTCTCATTATTTTATTAAAGTTTTGTTATTACTTTTACTTAGTCTGTTACAATGTTTTCATAAACGTATTCATTTATGTTACTACAATATAGTAACATAAATGAATTGTTACTATAATGCTGTTACTACAAATATACCAATATTTTTTTTGTTTTAGATATCTCTTCCAAGTGAAAAACGTCGTAACATGACAGCCTTATATAATCCTATGACGATTGAACAGTTGCAAGAAAAATTTAGAAGTATTCCTTGGGTAGAATACATTAACAATCTTCTAGCTCCTGATACAACAGTAGAATCGGGTGAAATTGTAGTTGTAAACGTTCCGTCGTATCTTAAAGCTTTCGAAACTCTAGTTAGCAAGACTTCAAAGAGGTAATTAGATAATGTATAGTATTTTAAAGTAAATTTCTTATAAAATAACGTACATATATACGAAAATTGTATCTATGCATAGTTTAAACCATACACAAAGAGCGAGAATTGACATCAACATCAAAATGGTAAAGGTCCAACCATTGGGTCATATAATGAGGGGACCTAAATATCACTTACACTGGTTGATTATTCAGAGCAAAATCGAAGGAAAATGCTTGAATGGAAGGAAACAACTGTCCTGACTGCGTAACATTAGACAATGAACAGGTCGAACGACCGAGGAATTATTTCATATAGCTGCCGACCGAGAAATACTTCATCAGCTTCTTAATCCGACGCAACCTATCCTTTTTGTATCTTTTTAATGTACTGAGTCTAGAGCATTCATAAAAATAACATATGTCATTACTTAATCAAGGGCGGTAGCTGTTTTGTCTTTGATTTTATGCGTGGAGACAATGATGCTATATAAAAAGTATTTATGTTTTATCTCGTCAGGTACTAATGACGCGTGAGTAAAGAACCATAGACTCAACTGTAGGTGTGAAAATAAGTAATAACGGTTTAAGTGCGAGATGCATACATACACACATAACAAAGATGAGAAATAAAATCATTAAAATTTAAATAGTGAGTATCCATAAAAAAAGAGATTCGCTACAGTACATATTTCATAAGGAACCTTCAGGAAAACTAAAAACACTATTAAAATAGAATTACGTGACTGCAAAATTTAAAAAACTTTCGTAGAAAAAAAAACATGGACAAGCGATTGAAAAAAAAATGGTCAAAGCAAATTAAGTTCTGTTTTTTCGTTCTAAAAACACGGACATCTAAAAACTAATAGATAAATATAGACGACATTAATATTTTTAATTAACTCTAGTCTAGGATCTTTACAACTATGATCAGACAATAGGAAAAAGGGTCTCAACAAATAGTATACTAAGGCAATACATGTAACAGATTACCTTAAATAGTAGAGAATTATCATTGATCAAACTACCCGATCTGCTAAATCTCAATGATGAACCACAACACATCTGCTAAGATGTTAATGACTATGATGATGTCGAAAATATATAAAATGGCAAAATATATTACATAGACCACATAATTCGCAATGAACAATTATGTATTATTCATAATAAATAATCTTGCTTACAGAAAGTTGGAACTTAATTTTACCGAGACACGGTTGGGGTTTAGAAAAGTACTAGACACTAGAGACTCGGTTTGCTTTAAATTTGAGAGTCAAAGCATAGATGATAAAGATCTGAGAATAATCATAAAGTTTTACTGGAATCATCGAGCAATATAAGAGTTTAAATTGAAGTTAAAGACGTAATAAGATTAACACGTGTATTGAGACAGGGATATATATTCTCGCCACTACTGTTTAACGTCTACAATGAACACATTTGCCAGGAAGTTTTATCAAACGCTAATAAAGAAATAATCGTCAATGGGAAAGTAATAAATAACATAAGAGATGCAGACGATACTGTGCTGCTGGCAAGAACCTCGAAAGAGTTTAAACTTCAACTAGAGAATATGAATAAAGTATGCAATAGATAGCTACGGTATACAAATTAATATCAAGAAAACCAAGTATATGATTTTTAGTAAAATTTTAATTCATTATACAGACATACTATAAGTATCACCTCCATTTAAATTGTAAATACCTACAAATACCTGTGAACTAGCAAAAACAAGAAAAGTGATTAAAATAACATCAAAAGACGTATTGAAAATGCTAGGTCCATTTTCACAAAAGATAAGAAACTGTTCAATAATTAGAAAGAAAAAGAAGTATTCTGCATCAGCTTTATTCATACTAAAAATAAATATTTACTGTATGTACTGCAAAACAGACCTGGGAGGAAGAGGAAGACTTCGATACACATGATTTTTTAGCTAATTTTAGGCGTTGAGCCACCAACTCAGCTCGTCTTTATTCAACTACATATATTCTGATCAAGCTCTAAATGAATGGTCCCTGCCCTAGCTGAAGCTAAACTTAACAACGTCCAAAAAACTCAAGAATGATAACGGTATGATAACTCAAAACTGCTATGATAACGGACCAGATCCACAGGATTAACTCCCAAAAACATGTATCGGAGAGGTCACGCATCGTTACCGGTGACGTAGCCGATAGAGGGTCGTATATTCATACTGCCGAAGGATAGGCTAGGCGCATACACATCGAATTTGGACGGTGGATAAAAGTTTGACCGAACTTTTGTCGATGAGTTGTCTGCCAAGGCTCTTTACATGGTCTATCTGTTGATGAAAACGGCTATTGACCAACTTTCTATCAACCGGTCCATAAGATCCGTGCACGAGGTTCTTCGTGATGGCGGTTCTTTTGTGCGACTCACTCGCGTCTATACATACGCACTAGGATAATTTTTGAGTTAACCACATACATAAATTTTTGCTGTTTTAAAATAAATTTTAAAATATTTGGTTATTTATGTGTATATTCTGTTTATACTTTAAAGAGTATTCTATTATATATTTAAGAGTATTCTATTACTATAAACGATCGGCTTCGCTAATTACATTTCTTCATAAGCTTCTATCTTATGTTACCAATATCAGTCCCTTTATCGACATATCCTCCTTCCCAAGGTCTTTTTTCGTCTTCCTCTTATACTGATTTTAGGAACTAGCATATCAACGATTCTTTGTATTAAAAGATTGGCGTCTCAGCTTTAAAAATGCTCGAACCATCTCAATATGTTCTCATTTTGCCATTAATTAGTATAACTTCTACGTGGAGTTATAACTCTTTAGTTATAACTCCATCTTCCAATTAATTTTTCAAATATCCTTTTTTTTCTGTTCTACTTAGTTTTAAACATTTTTCTATAAGTTTATTTCCACTGTTTGTTTTTCTAAATGCCTTTCAGTATTTCTTACTAACACTACATCATCAACCTATAATAATCACCATAGAATATTACCATTTATTTTGCCTGTTATAATTCAACACCATTGAACATAGATAAGGACTAAGCATGGAACCCTGATGCAATCCTACTTTCACATAAAATTTATCCGTCTCTCCCACATCTATTATAAAACTTGTTGTTGGTAAAAAGGATTGCAATTATTAATCGAAATATGAAAAATAAAATAGAAAAAAAAAGAAGAATTGTTTGTATTCTTATAAAAAGGATGAATTTAATTTAGATGTGCGAGAAAACGGTGCCTACATCGTTCGTTTAAAAATAGAATTGTCTATTAGAAAACTAAGTAAGATTAAAAATAATAGTGGCAGTAAAAATGTTAAACAGGCAGGATTACTAAAACACAAAAATAATCGAACCAAAGAGAAGAAAAATCCAGGAGCTTCTATTCCGGAAAATTTTAAGATAACCTAGCTACTGTTCATATGATGTATATATTATGTCTAATTTTTATAGAAATAAAATACAACATTATTGACCAGAAAATTAAAATATTCCAGATAAAAACGTCTGCCAATATTGAATTAGACCAATAATTGGTTAAATAATGATGATCTAAAACATTTTCCATATAATATAATATGTAATATTTAGTATATTAATACGTATTATTGTAATTATTAGCAAAGATATTTTAACTTTTTTAATTTTAGGGTACAGGCTAATTATGTAATGTGGAGAGCTGCATCAAACTCAGTGTCATATTTAACAGAACGTTTAAGAAAAAGGCAATTAGACTACACTGCAGTCATTACTGGAAAAACAGAACGAGAACCCAGATGGAAAGAGTGCATTGATATTACTTCAGTCAGGTAACATACTATTTTTATTTTGTATAATTTAAATACATTAGATTAAGTAGATAATCAGTAGAATTAATGATTTTTTAAATGTTTTGTTGTACTTGCTTTCACATTGATTGAATGTTACATGAAAATATTTTTGAGCACACACATTTATAACGCAGCATATAACTGATAATAAGCACAGAAAAATCACAATTTGATATCAATTGAAGGTATAACAACACCTTTTAAGACTTTCACCTCTAAAATAGTAGATATGAGCGATGCCTTCAAGAATGGTGTCAAATATGTCTGAACTGTCAAGATTTCATTTACCCCACTTAAAAATAACATCTGCTATAAGTTTTATTAAGCGATTGTAGATTAAATCAATTATTTACAATTCTATTTCGGTTTTATTTTTGAAACCATTTACGAATAAATTAGTAATCGAAACATAAAAAACAAAAAAATGCAACTTGTATTGCAATTTATTTCGGTTCATTCCCATGCATAAAATAATATTTTATTATATTTAGTTATTACTATTTATTTAAAGTAAAGTTTAAGTAAAAAACATAACCTATATTTGTCTTTTAATAGAAAAAATGTATATAAGGAAAAAAGATTATGTAGAATAACTATTTTATAAATCTAATACAAAATTTAAAATAATACTCCAGTCGTCAGAGATGAAAATGCCATCGAACCTCTAAAAATCATACGAACAATCTGAGTTTTACGGAAAATATTAATTTTGGGACCCCAAAAAGATGCAAAAAGTCTACCACTTTTACCCCCGGGCTTTCCCCTGGTGAAGAATGAACTGTTCTTTTAGAAACAACGCTTAAACCGATCGTCGATTATGCATGTCAGTTACGCACGCGAAATCAATGTTCAATATAATTTGTATCAGCTCAAAGGTAAAAATTCAAAATCTTTTGATTCAAGTGACCTATCGAAAAAAATTAAGATGCGTTCTAAAAGTATAGAGTTCAATTTTCGTGTAAAGTTTTTGTATTTTGCCGCAAATAAACTCAGATTTTATACAGGTGTTACATAAATAAATGTGGCGCGATTTTTTTGCCATTTTTTATGATTTTTAAGAAATATAATATCCCTTTTATTAACTAGCTACTATAAAGTTTTAATAAGTAGAGCCTAACCTTTAAAACCCATAACATGGAATGTTAGTTTTGAGTTTTGGCAACAAATGTAAGGCATTTGAATTATGTTATACTATACATTTACCACAACTCAAAATTAAAATTTTATGTTATAGTTTTCAAAGATTGATTTTTTAAAACGAAAATTTTACTAGGTACAAGTAGTCAATGAAAGTGATCAACTTTATTGATCTCACGAGAATCGCAAAAAAATTGGAAAAAAATGCGCCACGTTAATTAATTTAAAACCTTGATTGGGACCGTGCCAGTTCGGAACAGCGACACCTGGTGTCGTAAATCAGCAAAATTTACTGCGCTTTCATGTTAGATCGAGGTTACCGGATAACTGTCAAGGACGTAGTCCCAAAAAAGAATAAGAAGAAAAACTAAGATTGAGGTTATGTCGGTATGTTATTAAAAGGTAAACGTTGCATGTAGTGTAAGTACAAATAAATATATTATTAAATGGCAGCATTACTGTTAATATGGATGCAATAATAAAAACTGGATTTGAGAAAGTAAATCACCAAATAACTTTTCAACCAAGCACTGAGTCAAAGGGAAAAGCTTTAGTAGTGGCAAATGTCAAACAAAGAATGGAAGAATTATGTGGAAGAACTAAGAAAAAAAACAATAAAGCCCCCGGGAGTTGACGAGATTCCAGCAGAACTGTATAAGGTACGTGGCAACCACCTATCAAGTCATATCCACGCGCTTATCAAAGAAATATGGCAAGAAGAGAAAATACCCGACGAATGGAAGAAAAGTATAGTATGCCCAATCTATAAAAAAGGAGACAAACTCCAATGCAAAAACTACCGTGGAATTTCTCTACTATGTACAGCGTATAAAGTCCTCACGTATATTATAAACCAGCGACTCCAACCACTAGCAGAAAATATTATTGGAGAATATCAGACGGGCTTCAGACGGGGAAGATCGACAATGGATCAAATATTTACAGTCAAGCAGGTCTTGAGCAAATCGTGGGAACACGACATTGATGTTCACAACGTGTTTGTAGACTTCAAACAGGCATACGATTCAGTCAAAAGGGACAGACTATACTATATATTGGCAGAATTAGCAATACCACATAAGCTAATTAGACTCATTAAAGCCACAATGGATGAAACTCAGGCATGTGTACGAATACAAAACAACCGACAGACTTTTTCAAAATCTCGCAGGGACTAAAGCAGGGAGATGGGCTGGCACCAACATTGTTTAACCTGGCACTGGAGTATGCGGTTAGGCAAATGCAAACTGGACGAGAAAACCTACTGACCAATAAAACGGTTCAACTGGCTGCCTACGCCGATGATATTAATATTATGAGTAGAACATCAACAGGAGCACAGGAAGCATACGCAGAGTTAAAAACACAAACGAAAAGGCTAGGTCTGGAAATTAACACAGAAAAAACAAAAATAATGGTACAGACGAGAAGAAATATAATCCCACAAAACATTATACATGAAGATGACATTGAAACGGTTGGAAAGTTTACATACCTGGGAGTAGAAATATATGCCGATGGAGCAGAGGATGGAGAAATACGAAAAAGGATAACGCAGGCAAACAATGCTTATTTTGCCCTCTCCCATATATTTCGGTCTAAAAGTGTCCACCGAAATACAAAGATCAGAATCAACTTTAATTCGGCCAATAGCATGTTATGGCAGCGAAGCATGGGTCCTGAAAGAAACATCCAAAAACAAACTCGACATATTCAAAAGAAAAGTACTGAGGAGAATACTAGGACCTGTGAGGGAAAACGGAATCTTCAGAATTCGATATAACAACGAGCTCTATCAACTGTATAAGGAAACACCCCTGTCAGACTTCATTAGAATACAAAGATTGCAATGGGCCGGACATGTGATACGAATGGGAGAGGATAGGCTACCAAAACGAGCACTGAACGCCAGAATGCAGGGAAAGAGACCAGTTGGAAAGCCAAGAAAGCGCTGGGAAGACACAGTAAGCAGCGACGCACAAGCACTTTTAGGAGTCCGTGTATGGAGAAGAGCAGCCACAGACAGACAAGGGTGGAGGCAAAAAATAAAGGAGGCCAAGGCTCATTTTGGGCTGTAGTGCCGTAGAAGAAGAAGAACTAAGAAATATAAATTACCATAAATCATGCTAATGCATAAACTAGCAGGTTAAGCCCATGATATCATCATATTTGTTTGAACAATTAATTCTTTCCCTGTAAACTTTTGGACAGGAAATATAACTTGATGCATTTTTGTAAACTTCAAAAAAAAATAAAATTTTAACATTAAACTTGATTTTTGGGTATACATGAACTTTAAGTGAGTGTTATGAAACTAAAATTTAAGCTTAAAAGTGAACTTCGATTTATTATATATTTCAAACTGGTTTTAAAATCGGGCGCAAGAATAATGCATTATTTAGGTTATGCTACTTATGCTTTTTTATGATATAAATCCACTTTTCTCTTTGTAGTAATTCGTGCCTCGAAGTTGGAAACGAATAAACCTTAAATTGACAATTTTTTGTTGTATTTTTACAATTTATAACACAGCATTTCCCAAATCCCATTTTCTTCAGTGACAGAAGGTGTAGATAAACAAATAAGTATGAAATATGACAATTGACAATATGAATTTATGAAATCTGTGAAATTTGCAGTAAAAAATGCAAGATTTCTCCGCTACTCGCGCACAATCGTTTTTCGTATCACATCCAAGTACTTGCACGTCGCCAATAAGAACTGAGTTTATTCTCGGCAAAATACAATAATTGCATACTAAAGCTTCACTCTTTGCGTTTTAAATGCATCTTGATTTTTGTCGATAGGATATTTGGATCAAAAGATATTTTTTACTGTCGAGCTGATACAAATTTTATTAAACATTAATTTCGTGCGCCTAACTGAAATGCAAAATCGATGGTCGCTTCAAGCGTTATTTCTAAGAGAACGGTTCATTCTACACCAGAAATGCTTATAAACATTTTTGTCTGATATTATTTCAGCTACATTTTTTTTAAACGTTTTTTTCGACGGTGTACCGATTCTTGGTTAATCGATTTTTTTACATTTTTACCCCCCTGCGGGATCTTTTTGCATGCATTTTAGGGTGCCAAAATTTATATTCTTTGCAAAATTCAGCTTGTTCGTATGATTTTGAGGAGTCAACTCTCTGACAACTGGACTATAAGAAATGCCCAAAACTCAGATCTTAACTCGGAGCCTTTGATTTTCAAGATAACGGGAGGGTTTTGTGGCACCTGACTTAAAAATTTTTAAATAACCTGTACACGTCATATACGACCTTACATAAATCCAATTTCACTAAATAATAAATTTTAAAATATTTCAAAAACACCATAACATGTACCTCTCTACGAAAGGAAATAAACATTCACTATAGGTAATGTTGCAGAACATATGTCTGTCATGCGAAATAAGATGTAACTTGTTTGTTTCACACAACTTTTTTGAAGAATATAAGAGTAATTATCATCAAAGTTCGCAGTGCAGATGTGATGAAAATAATTCAATATCACGGTTTTCTGAAAGCTTTCCTAGGTTTCATCACTAACACATCTTAATACTGTATGTGATGTATTTTTATCCAACTTTTTACCAAGTTCTGCAATGTTTGCAAGTACATAATATATTTATAATCTTGTTTACAGCTTGTCCATTGCATCTGGAGCTCTTTACGTGAGAAAGTATTTTAACGAACAAGCTAGACAGAACGCTATTGATATGGTAAAAGATATCAGGGCAGAGTTTCAAGATATTTTAAAAGTTGTTGATTGGATGGACGAAGAAACAAGAGAAAATGCATTGGAAAAAGCTAAATCTATGACGTCGCATATTGCATACCCTGACGAGTTACTCGATGATGAAAAACTCAAGGAATTTTATGATGGTGTAAGTATAAGTAATTTCCAATTTATTTTGTTATATTAAATATTAAATATTATAGAATAACGATTATTAACATTATGATGTATGTATATTGTATTTTGTTGGCCATGTAAAAAGTATTGTTTGAAGTAAGTTAGTTATAAATTAACAAATACTCGTAATATAACGTAAATATCGATTAAGTACTAAAGTATTTTAGTTTTTCTCACTTGCTTTGCTATCGACATATACAGAAAATTAAAGTGAAAAAACTAAACTACAATAGCTTAGAATAATGCAGGGTTACTCTATAATAATGATGTATATTAAAAAGTAAAAAAAAGTTGATAAAACATTTTGATTATATACTAAAAAGGGAGACATCAAATATTCATAACGACAGATCAAATTTGTAAATATTAATATTTAGTTATTAAATAAAAAAGAAGTTTAAAGAAAAAATAAATATGTGGCACATTTTAAAAATTGTATTAAATATTGTATAATGTAATTACGAATTTTATGAAAATCATTTTTCGTTTTGTAGCTGGAAATGGACCCTAACCAATATTTTAAATCAATTTTAAATCTGACTCTATTTGGAACAAGATTTTCATTTAAAAGATTGAGACAACCTGTAAATAAAACCGACTGGATCACTCACGGAAGACCTGCCATTGTTAACGCATTTTATTCATCTATTGAAAATAGTATACGTAAGTAGTTAATTGTTTTATGAACGAATTGTTTTATTTTTGCTACTATTATTTGACGGTTCATAAGAATTTTTATGTAATTCATTATTTTTATTTGGTATTAACCATAATTTTAGTTAAATATTATATAAATTATAATATATAATATATAAAATACAAATTAAACAAATTTTGTTCTTACTTCGTAATATAAACAATTATATACCGACATGTAATTTTATTATTCTATAGAGTTCCCTGCTGGTATTCTTCAAGGAGTATTCTTTAACGCTGATCGTCCCAGATATATGAACTATGGTGCAATTGGTTTTGTTATTGGACATGAGATCACACACGGTTTTGACGATCAAGGTAGACAATTTGATAAAGTGGGAAACTTGGTAGATTGGTGGCAAGAAACAACAAAAAAACGATTTGTGGAAAAAGCTCAATGTATTATTGATCAATATGCTAATTACACTGTTCCAGAACTGAATTTAAATGTAAGTATAAGTATTTTCATGCTTGGGGGTAAGCTTTTATTTCAGCATACATATTTAAATGATTGTTAATATTAATTTAACGCATGGTATTACTATTTATTGATTTCACCAGTACCAGTAAGGATCAATTAAAAAAAACTATAAAAAATTTAAAAAGTATATCCAAAACTGAAATATACGACAAATGCTTTTTATGTAAATGTAAATAAGGAAGTATACATCAAACTTTAAAATTTGAATACTTATCCTGCTATGTACTAAATAAAGAAATATATGTAATCATATCTGCTAGAAATATATTAAACCCATAAAATAAATCTATAATATATCAATAATAATAATCCAATTTCCAATAAAAAAAATGTGTATTAACAGAATTAAAGTAATATATATATATATATATATATATATATATATATATAATATAATATATATATATATATATATATAGATATATATATATATATATATATATATATAGTAACTTTAAAATTGTATAAGGATTATTATGAAAAAAATTTAAGCTAATAACTGAGTTAAAAAAGTGTCATAAAATAAACTCAATGAACTGAAAGATATATACTTTGTGTGTGTCATTAGACAAAAACTGTTTGGCACAAATTATATATAAGTTGTCTCTAGACATTTATCAAGTCCTTCCCGTACGATCTTTTTCAGTATGTATTTTCATTTTCGTACAGTTCGTGGTACCAATTTTTGTATAAGTGTGCTGAAATATTGTACTGCTGTATCTACGTCATCTGGAGATTCTATCCGTAAAGATAAGTGTTTTGATCTATGTATGATTTAAATACTGTCCAATTCTAGATTTTTGAAATAAGAGGATGGGTTGTTTCTAACTGTGGCAGGCATGCTGATGATAATCGGTGTATGATTCGATAAGAGATCGTAGTTGATTTTATTGGGCAGTTGTTTTTAATAACCGTTTGCTATATAGCAGTTAAGTACGTTTTCTGGGATCTGGGATCACTCACTACGTAAAAATAATATAGGTGTGACAATCATAGGTGTTATCTGCCATTGTTTTTAAAAGTATATGAACTTTTGTTGTTTTGAGTTTTGAGCCCCAGTACTTCTTTTATTCTAGTCTATACAATTTAACAAAGTTACTATTCAGTATTTAGAAGAAGTATTTGTATTCACTAGTAGAGATTACATTATAATGTGTTGGGATGTAAATTTTAGATATATGTTGAAATGGCATGGTGCTATATTCTATAGAAGAGGTACACGATATCACCTTATCAAAAATGCCTTATTAGTTTAAAATGTATATATATTTTTTATAAACTTGACAATGTCGTTTGATGGTGGAATAGGTTCCTTATTCCGTTATTTGGGCAAAATTATCGATCATACTTTTAAACTTTTACACTATGTATTCACATTTTCTTTTATTTTTATGTTTTAGTTAATTCGGAGTAGTCGTTTGATAGTGAACAATTATATCGTTTTTGTATTTTTGTTGGTGGTGTGTTTCTAAAATTTGATACATTATTTTGTTTCGGAAATTTACAGTTTCTTATTCATTATCGAGTTTTTTATATAGGGTTTCTTTATCGTCTTATTATCTTCTATAAAGTCTATATCTAGGCTTTCTGAAGGTTTAATTATGAATTTTAGCTATTCGCTTAAAATCTGTTCCAAGTTGCTTGGTTTATAGTAAATTAGTTAAGGTGGAATTGTGATTTTTCGCAGTTATAATGAATGAGAGAATTGATTTTGTGAACTGTTTGTTGTGGGAGGATTTGACTATTTCAAATACATCTGATTTTGTGAATTTTTGAGTGGATGTTATTGGGTCGAAGAAATGTTCCTTATTGTTGGTTAGTAGTGAACCTGCTGTTTACTTAAATTTTCAGCTGAAATAATTGTTCATTGTAGAGAAAAAAACTGGTAACTCATTTTAATTATTATATGTTTACCGGATCGCGTTTACCGGATATACTGAATATATTCTTATTCTTCGATATTTAAGTGAACACTTTCAAATATCTAAAAAAAAAGCTTCAAACAAAATCAGAAATAATGTCTGAAAAATATGGAAGCATCTCTAAACATATGTTTCTAAGAAGTACATTTCAAGCTTGTAAATTATAGTACTCAAAAATCTGCTATTTTTATTTACTGAAAATTTAGCGAAAAACGAAGCAAGCAAATAGCCAAATAAGTTACAATATAACAACGTGAAAGTCTTTCTGTGAATTTTGCGTATATATAATATTATCTAACAATAGCAATAAAAATATATTGAAATTAAGTAAAATACGTAGTTTAATTAATATTTTTTCAAAGAAAGTACCTATGTTACTGTTACAGCATTATTAAATTTAACAATCATTTAGATAGGAATTTAAACCTTTTTGCTCCACTATTTTTACATAAAATATTTATTTATCAACAACGATATTCTTTTTGTAGAAATATTACAGTTTATTGGGGGTTTAAATTATATGTAAAATGGGAATAAACTTTAATATAACTATTTAACTTTGTACAAACATTGGTATTAAATATTAACAAATTAGTTACTAGATCGAATAAAACTAAAATGTTTTATGTGCTTATTTTACTACAGATTACTAATTTATAATAATAAATTATAACTCCACGCTTTAAAAAAAGTAGATCATATCCATTTTGATTAATTCTTTTTATTGTTTGTTTAGTATGATATCGAATGCCGTACAAATAAAAGTTAAAGTTCAAGTACTTAAAGGGACTTAAATTACTCAGGGACTTAAATTATTCACTTTCAAACAGAATTATCGTTTAACAAAATTTTGAAAATTTGTGTGCATAATTGAAAAGATTGGAAAATTCTATGTTTCATTAAGAATCTTTTATATTGCCAAAACCATTTAGCAAAATATGAAAGCTTTTAACGCTGATAGAATTATTATATTACTTGAGTATCCAATTATATTAAGTAATTCCTCCTTATTTTTATCCATATTTGGTTGCTTTTAAGTGCTTTTTTGAATAGCTGATCTGAGTATAAATTGAATAATGATGCCGCTAGAATACAACCCTGTTTAACTTCTTGATATATAGATATTTCGTTGGTTATATTCATTTCAATTTTTCATGTGATTCTATGGTTTGATTATAAGTGTTTAGTACAAATATTTATTGATGCGAATATGTATATCATCAATTCTTATATTTTCTTAGTATCATTATAATCCTACATATTGTACTGTATCAAATGCTTTTTCGAATACCATAAAGCACATAAAACATATTTTCTCTGATCATGATACTTCTACATGAAATAGGACGTATAGGACGTTCAGCGCAAAAAGTGCTTTTCTGCTCAAAAGTACATATCTAAAACCAAACTGCAATTTTTATTTAAGGTTTTCTTCGTATTTGTATTCGATATTCAGAGCAATATCTGCCTTTGTTTCTAAAGGGATTGCAATATTTTCTACTTTTATTGTTTACTAATTATAATAACTAATAATCTGCATATTTGTCTCTCTGGGTTCTACATCTGGGTTCTTGATTTCGGACTGTCAATACAATAATTATTTTTTATAATCATATATTTGATTTGTTTCATATTTGGTTAAGGATGTTATTATTTAAAAGATCTTGAGTTACCAGAAGACCCAGAAGATAGAAAATGTATAGAAAATTCTGCTGAAAAATCTAGTTAAAAAATGGGTATATAAAACAAAAAAGGAATACTGAAAAAGAAAATTTCAAAAGAAAAAAAAACTAAGAAATTTGAAAACAAATATACTTAAAAAAAGACAAGACGTAGAGAATAGACAAGGAGGAGAAACGTATAAACACTAATATAAAAATAATTATTGATATACATATATATATATATATAAACGGAAAAAAATAAAAAATAAAATAAAAATAAAAAAACAATAAATCACCTAGTACAGGAGATCCATCTGTGGAACGCTTTAAATAATGCCCTTATGTAGTTAGTCCTTAATGCTGACAGGTTCTGTATTTCCTTTTAGCCTGTTTGAGATTACACAAATACGAATTTTATAAATATATATATGTTTATTTTGTAGAAATTGTAATACATTCAGGATTTTTTAAATAACTTCATAATATGTAAAAAGTGCTATTTCTTGTGTATACGCTACATCTATGTTTACGGCCTTTATGTATACCTAACAGCATGCTGTCTAGCTTCTTTTGGATTGAGTCCTTGCTTTAATGCTTAAATAGGTACTTATAGCTTTTCGTTGTAATTCACTCTCAATTGTTATTCTCTCCAGAGCTTTTTTGTGCTTTGTTTTTCCTTCTTCTTTTAGTTCCTTGACCGTTATCGATCGTTGGATATCATGTGGGTACCATATCAATCGTGGCTTATTGACATCAACTCTAAATAATCATGTAATAAATTTTTTGTGCTATTGTCTTAGATTTTTCAGCCATGATATTTTTTTACAGAGACCATGTTTACCTCGAATCTTTTTCTGATAAGTATAAAAGTTTATTTAAAGAATACTTCGTGTCTCATAATGTGACCGAAGTATTCAAGCTTTCGTCTCTTTATTATATAAATCAGCTGTATTATTTAGTTCAGCTATCTAAAGACCTCCTTATTTCTAACTCTGTCGACCCAGTTCATCTTTAATAGTTGTCCGTATAACGACATATTAAAGGCTTCCAAGCATATAAGCATAGCCTCATTTAGAAGTTAAAGTACGTATCTTATTTTTGCAATTGTAGCACAGGCTTGTTCGATTCAACTTTTAATTTCTACGGTACGATCCCAGTTCTCAGCTGTTTTTTCCTGGTCTGTTCTTATTCTATAAGAAGCAAGAGAACGTATTGTTATTACCGGCACATTTCTGCATGCTAGGTAAAGTCTAGTAAAACCGGCCTTCAGCAATTAGAGCACTTTATTGAGAGTGATTTTTTGTGGTTTCCGTTTACATGCCTGATCAATGCGTATGTAGATATGTTTCTTGACTCTTGCAGCAACTCTGTATAATAGTCTA